TTTTTTTTTCACGCCTCTGACTTTTCTTTTAGGCCTACAATAAGGAATCGTATAGTTCAGTACTCTCCCACCAAGCTGCTATGAGAATGCTCGAAAAGACAGATTCTAATGCTTTCATCACAAAGAGAGATGTAGAGAGAGAGAAGGAATAAAAGATAATGGTCAAATTTATTGCACTCCATGAAAAGGGCCAAAAGGGAAGGAAATAAGTGTACAAGAACAATCTAGTCCTTCCATGAGTTCATGCATAAGACATAAAGTTGTCGGGTCACAATGTGTGGATGTTCTGCAAAATAGATCTACCTATATAGAGCCTTTGGTTGTCATGTTTTGCATAAATATTTTTAGTTCATTTTGTCTATTAACGAGAATACAAGTTAGCCAATCAACCTATATATTCTACGCTAGACTAAAGGGACCTCTCCTTTTGCTTTTTTTTGTTTTTTTTGTTTTTTTTGTTTTTTTTTTCTCCTCCTTTAGTTTATGAAAATATAGCTAAAAAGTGCGCAACTTGATTGAAAATAAGATGCTAGTGGTATTATTCAATGCACAATTAATTTTGCCCCAGGAAACGTCTGAAATAGCTCACTGCCCCTTCTTTCTTAAAGTCCTGCCAGTGCCCTTTAAGAGAAAACTTCCGGTGCATTCAGAATTAATTTTAAAATAATTTTGTTTGTAATAAAAAGTAAAAATGAGATTGTTTTAATAATCATTTTAAGACCGATTTTATAATTGCGTTTGGTTGATTTTTTAAGAGATTATTTTGAGTATAATAAAAAAATAAAATCGTGTTTATTAATTAATATATTATAATATTATTGATAAGTACTAAAAAATGAGAACGAAAAAGTGAAAATAATTTTCAATTGTTTTATAATTCTTTCACAAAAACCATTCTTACTGTTTTCATTTTCGTTTTCGTTTTCAAAACATTTACTAAATAAACGTCGTTTTGTTTTTATTTTCATTTGTTGCTTCTCAAAATACGTAAAAATTGTTTTAAAAAACGGTTATAAACACGCACTTCAATACACGTGCACATGCAAAATATTTTTTCTATCATTTTAAGTCGCTTAGGATTACATTTATGACGTGTTTAACAAACTGTAAAAAAATGTAATAAAAAAGATAATGAGATTGGAAAAAAATAATTTCTCCCTTCCTCATTCTATATATTGTGTGCGACTAATCATTAAATACTCATTACCATGTTAAAGATAAATATATTATTAGATTGGAAAGAAAATCACTCAAAACTTTTCCTTTCTCTTTAATGCAAAATAAACTTGCCCTCAATTGTGACTCCTCTTCAAACTAAATAGTTTTCTTAGAGCTTAATTATATTATAGATACAAACCCTCGTACAATTGTGATATAGTTAGAGAACAAATGTAGACAAAAATCTACGTCCAAGCGGAGATCTAATTTTTCTGAAACCATGTTTGAAAAGTTTAAGAGGACAGGGCTGGAATGGTAGGATTAATGGATGGATTTTAGGAGTTATATTTATTTGATAGGAGGAATTAAAGAAGGCATGGTTGGTGAGTAATTTCAAAATGGTACCCAATTTGCATCCCTTCCAATTTTTTCCCCAATAAGTAGTAATCCTTTCAAAGTTTGGAAGTACTAAACAAAGATCCATATTAAACTCAAGGGTTTTTAGTACAATTGTCCTCTAAACTTATCATGATTTAATAAATTACTCCGCAAACTTTTAATTTTGACAGTTAACTCCCGAACTTATAAAATTGTTGTAGTGTTCCTCATTTCACTATATTAACTTAAATTTTTTATTAGATTTAAAGGATTAAAAGTTGAAAAAAAAAATAAAAGATTTGTGTTACACTTGAATTGAGACGTTAAATTTTGTTGTCGAACGTGTTTTTCGACACTAATTTAACACAATCATAGCCAAAATAGAACATATTACAATAATTTTATAAGTTGAGAGGGTAATTTATTAAAATTAAAAATTTAGAAAGTAAATTACTAAAGACATACAAGTTCAAGTGACAAATGTATAAAAAAACCCTAAACTCAACGAGAGAATACTCTTGGATCACTTTATTCTTCTTACGTAGCTTTGACTAATTAATTTATTAATTTGTCAAATTTTTAGATCGAGATTTATATAGTAGACTATGAAAAGATATTTTACCAATATAGTTCTATTTTAAACGATCATTACCAAATTTTGTCAATTTTATATATCTTTAATAGGGTACCTCTAATAGGGTGGCTATGGGTACCTCTAATAGGCGGGAATGGGTATGGGTATGGGTATGGGTATCTCTACTAGGGTGGATATGGGCAAAAATTAGCCCCAGATTTAGAGGCGAGGCGGGGGTGCGGACACACCTTTACCCCGATTACATATAATCTTATATATGATCGAGTTTGGACTTCAAATTTAGTTTTAAGGCTTAGGTATGTTATTGTTATAATTTAGATTTTGCATTAAGGTTTCAATTTATTTTTGTGAGATAATAACAGTTATATTGTTGAATTTTCTAATTAATTTAATGGAATTTTCTTTAAGATTTTATAATTTTACGAGTATTTTTAAACTCTTAATGTATAAATAAGTAGTGTATGAAGATAGTGCCTCCGGTGGGAATTGTTGACCCCGATCCCGCCGCAAATTAAATGAGTATGGAGGCGGGTATCAATAATAAAACGGGAGTAAAGACGCATAAGAGTTGAGGAAGCATACCCGTCCTCACCGCGCTCCATTGCCGTCCCTACACCCATCATGCATACCCGACTGTAGAAAGGTGCTATTTGGGTAACCAATTAATCATGAAGAAAAGAAAAAAACGTGTTACAAATAAGACTACAGGTTGAAGGGGTCCGGATAACTGTTGCGTTTGAATTCCACGTCCTGCAGAGATGCTTTTCATGAGTAGATATATTTTCCTTAGACAACTGAGATTAGGTACGCAAGTTTTAAGATGGTTCGCCACAAAATAAAACCACTATCCTGAAAGAAACATTTTGTAGAGAGAGAGAGAAGAGAGACTAGCTATAAAAGAGTTGTAGCCACATAATGATGGTGCACAAAAATAAAAAGATTATATAACAAGTGTACGGCTTACTCAAAAAGTCTTTAACCTCTTACTTATATACCTACATTATAAGTTCATTATCTCATAATGTCGACATCTTTTTCAATTCTCACACACTTGTCCCTCTTACTTCACTTACCTCCTTACTCGTTGCCTTTCCATGTCGCCATTTTGACCCTTTACTTTTCTCAATCCCTTCTCATAAATACCCTCTCAAGAGATCTCCCATAACCCACTTCAACTATTCTTTTCAATCTCTCTCTCTCTCTCTCTCTAGACCATGACGAAGCTAATAGTACTATATTTCTTTCTCATTGTTCTTCCTTTTCTAGTCTCTGCCGAATGCGGCTGCGGTGAAACTGAAGCGCAAGACCGAGACAAAACCAAAGCGCTACAACTAAAACTAGTGGCAATAACTTCAATACTTGTAGCCAGCGCAATCGGCGTGTCGCTTCCCATTTTGGGCAAGAAAATCCCAACGTTGCGCCCCGAAAACGACATCTTCTTCATGATCAAAGCCTTCGCGGCCGGAGTGATTCTCGCGACCGGTTTCATACACATCCTGCCCGAGGCTTTCGAGAGCCTGACAAGCCCCTGCCTCGGACGAAATCCGTGGGGGGATTTCCCCTTCGCGGGCTTCGTCGCCATGCTTTCGGCATTGGCGACGATGATGATTGACACTTTCGCGACGAGTTTTTACGAAAGAGCGCACTTCAACAAGGCGCTGCCGGTGAAGGACGACAGCCATGTGCAGGGTGCGGCGCATGAGGGGCACGTGCACGTTCACACACATGCTACGCATGGACATGCTCACGGATCGGCCTTTGTCTCGGAGGATATTTCGTCGGTGGAACTTGTTCGTCACCGAGTAATTTCGCAGGTAGAATTTGTTGTATGCTGCTCTGTTTCTCTCTGTTTTCCTCTTCTTTTTTTTTAATTTTTTTTTTCTACACAGTGTCCTGCTTTCTTAGCTTTTGCTTTTATGGTTCATGTTATTTTCGTTAGCAATTCATATATATATATATATATATATATATTTTTTTTTTTTTTTTCTAGAAACAAGAAATGAACATATAATTTTTTATTCTTTTTTAGGGGTAATGCAGCTTCTTTTCTATGTTTTATTCCAATTTTCTCAGATGTCTTGAAGGGAGTAAAATCTGTACACGTTTGATTGAGTGTGTGTGTATATATACACCCTGGTAGATTTTGTTGTCATTCTATTTCTTGCATGTTCTCTATTTTTTAAAATTTTTTGCTGCGCAGTTTCCTGTTCTGTTTCGTTTTGTTTTATCAAATTTATATTATTTCGTCATCAAGAAAATATTATTTCATATGTGCTATTATCATAGGTTAAGTTCGTATTAGGATTACTTTCTCTTTCCCCGTGTTTCCTCTGCTTAAACTGTAACCAGTAATATGAGAAATTCTAGCATCATTATTACAGTTAATCTCTGTATTTATTATTTAACATGTAAACTCTATTATTTTTTTTGTTCTTTTTTTGGAGATGGGTGTAACAATGAACATAATTTTTCCTGATTGTTGCACAGGTTTTAGAACTGGGAATCGTGGTGCATTCAGTAATTATTGGGATATCTTTAGGAGCCTCTTATAGTCCCACTACAATTAAACCACTTGTAGCAGCTCTAACTTTCCATCAATTTTTCGAAGGCATGGGTCTCGGTGGGTGCATTTCTCAGGTACTTTCACATTTTTGGGCGGATGAAATAATTTCTGTTTATAGTGAAATCACAGTGCACGTATAATTATAATTTGTTATTTTGTCTTTGGTTCTTTTCATTTTCATTTTATTATCAGTATTATTGATGCATCACATAAAAATAACAAGCATGTTAATAAATAAAAATGGGGCAATTTTTAAATAATAGAGATGTGTAGAAAGTGACTTTAATCATTTTAAAATTATGTGAGATTATTTTAAATATGAGAATGTAGAGAGTAAGAAAAAAAAAAGGCATAAATAGAAATGCCCTCTCTTAAAGTGAAAGAGAAAAAGTAAAAAAAAAAAAAAAAAGATCTCAAATAAAAGCGTAATTCTTCATTTATGCCTTACTATATATACTACTTGCAATTTCTAGGATATGTCTAGTCTAGCTTCTAAAGATTGCTTTTGATGGTCCACTAATTTCTGATGCTCTCAGAGCCTTCAATGGTTCTGATGAAAGCTCATGTGATTGCATTAATTTACAGTCAATGTCTCTACATTGATGAAAGTCAACAATTTTGCTTTTATGTGATATTCTGCTCTGAGGCGTCCTTCCATTTCATCGTCATCCTAACGAAATTTCTACTTAATGTTGGGCCCACTTAGTGGGACCCATTTAGGTGTCGTTAGACTCAAACTTTGTGCAAATGAGTGATTAGTGTCCAGCACTAATAGTAGATGAGTTTCGTAATGTGGGGCTCATACCACTCACTAATAATAAATCACTAATAATAAATGAGTCCGTAATGTAAGACTTATATATAAAGTATATCTTTTATTAAATAGCGGTGTTTAATACTTGTGGTGACCTTTAATATTTTTCTGTGCAAATTGCTATAACTTGGCATTTCCTTCATTTAATTGTCAAGGAAAATTACTTTTGCACACCTTGTATTTCGCGCACTATTGACAAAAATCTCCTCTTAGTCAAACAAACAAAAAAAAAAAGAAAAAACTTTTTTTTGTCAATATTATACAATTAAACTAGTTTACCTCAACTGATTACAAAAATTTAAGCCACGTTTCATTTTGTTGGTTCAAATCACAATTTAATTTTTTATTACAGTATTTTTTTCATAAAAATTTAAATTCAACTTTTTATACTACAATATTTTCTCTCATATATTCACTTTTCAACTCAAATTAAAAACTCGAACCATAAAAAATTATCAATACAGAGAGTTGAGAGATGAAAGACCTCAATTAGAATGAGGTGTGAAGAGTTTCAGACATATGAATATCTTGTTAAAGGTAAACGATGAGAATGAAGCTTTTCTTATTGTAAATGTACCCAATCAATTTTAGGGTATTTTATCAACTCTACTTAAATGTTACATCATTTTGTGCAGGCGAAATTCAAGTCCAAGTCCATTGTAACAATGGTACTATTCTTCTCCCTCACAACACCAGTTGGAATTGGAATTGGAATGGGAATATCAAGTGTCTATAATGAGAATAACCCAACTGCTCTGATTGTGGAAGGAATCTTCAACTCTGCCTCTGCTGGGATTTTAATATACATGGCATTGGTTGATCTTTTAGCTGCTGATTTCATGAACCCAAGAATGCAAAGCAATCTCAGGCTTCAGCTTGGGGCCAATATTTCTCTACTTTTGGGCTCAGGTTCAATGTCCCTATTGGCCAAATGGGCTTAAGTTCTCTAGATTATTAAGGCTAACAAATCCATAACTTTTGTTCTTCTTGTTAATCCATTTTCCCTTTTCTCTGTTTTTTTTTTTTTTTTTTTTTTTTTTTTTTTTTTTTTTTTTTTTTGTTTTTTTGCTCTTATTTATTTGCTTGCTTTTTCCCCCCCTCTCTCAAACGAGTCATTTCATTTTTACCATTGCTTATTAGTTGGGTATATTAGGTTATAAATTCAATGTGCTTTTTCATCATCATAGAGAATTTTAATCCTCGGATATTAAAAACAGGTTGAAGAATAGATAATTCTTTATGCAAGTACACGAAATTAAGAATTACAAAGGTTTGACTTAAAAATTATGAAGAATGTATCACTTTAGAAACAATTTTGTATAAACAATGTCCTTTTTTTTCCATGAAAAATTTATCATTATTCAGGGAATTCAAGCTTTTTCAAGTTTTTGGCTAACTCTATAAATAATATCCAATTTGGATGCATTTTTTGCTCTTCACGAGTTGAAATGTTACAGCATGTATAAATACATATAAAAAAAACAAATGTAGGCCTGCAGAGCTATAAAGCCCCCTTTGCATATGTATTGTGAAGGAAAAAAAGGGGGAAAAAAAAGCAAGAAAACTAGTTCTTGATAATGAAGATCGTATTTTCCTAAGTACTCATGGGGCAAATCCAAACTTTTCTCTAGGCATTTCCCTGTGATGACACTTTCAGTGAATTCCAACATATAGGTCTATTTTCAAAAAGAAATAAAAAGTCTCTACGAAGATAAAACAATAACTTTGGAATGTAAATTTATATTGTGCAAGTATCCTAATTAGTGATATTTTTCCGCATTACGAAAATCTCTAGACTACAGTAGTGTCAAAAGGGAAAAACGAAAGGAGGAAAAAAAAAAAAGGAAAGGAAAGGAAAGGAAAGGAAGAGAGTGAAAGAAAGAAAGAAGTGATTACATGCATATACGTAGTTTTAACGGGATAAAATATTGCGTGTGACAAAAGATAAAATATAGTGCAAGTTTTTCATGTACTTTCTAGGGAAAAAAAAAATGTTTTTCATGTACCACTCATCTTCACCACACTCAACTGATTCAATGATATGCGGCTGGTTTTTAAAACGGATATAGATAAAAAAAAAAATGGAGTGGTGTAATTGGTAGGCATAGTGTATATATATATATATATATTTAAAAGTAATAATCTCTAAATTATATTAATTTATGTACAAAATTAAATAATTACGTTATTTATTTACTCAATTGAAGTGATTAGGAACGATTACATTATCAATTATTGACCAACGAATATTTCTAAATCCTTAGAACTCTTGATTCATCGCTGCCTATTCCTTAACACCAATTAAAAATGCGAGTCGGCGCGTTAAAAAAAACATGATATGATCACTCCCACTGACTTGGGAATGTAAGGATTTCTCCACACTTTTTCTCAATAGAAAATTCGGCCTTTATATGAATAATTAGGTCTAAGAGGTTTTTCAAATATACCTCATATTTATAGAGTGAAGCCTACCCAATTGAATTTTGAGAACAAGTTTTCTATATCTTTTATCTGAAAAAATTCGGCTACCACATTTCCTGTGGTGGCGCCAATATCCTCCTCTAGTGGAGGAGATTTCTTTCCAATTTCCTTTAAATTCAAATACCCATTAATTAGAAATTCAAAGTTTTCAAATTTATTTGAATCCAAAATAGAAAATTTGTAGAGAAAAAGTCTACTACATAATCTGGTCTAAAATTAATTACTTAAATAATATCATTACTTAATATAAATTAATTCATGATTAATTTATTTTTGAGTGATATAAAATTTAGTTAAATCCCATTAATTTCAATTCTCTAACAATAATATAAGGATGGTGGGGGACTGATGCGCTCATAATTTCAAGCTTGAATAAAATTAATAATTAATCAAAATTTTAAGCATTAATTAATTTTTGTTAAGTTCATAATTACTCCACTAAATAATAAGAGTTATATTATAGGCATTTAATTACTTCTAAAAATGTGCAGTGTACATTTGATATAGTTTTTGTATAATCATCCACGAATAAATCATAATTAGAGCTTGATAAAATTTCATCAATCTCTTTAATTACATCTTTATCTTTAAGTGCTATTGAATATTCTTTAATGAATAATAAATTTATGAACTTAATTATAAATTGAGCACTCTTAATATTCAAATATGAATCAATAATTTATGAATCAAATATCAAATAAGGTATAGACCTTAGTAATTATTATTATTTTTTTTTAAAAAGTACAGCCAATGGTGGAAGTTTTTTCTTCACATAATTGCTTTGGAGGTTTATTCAATTGAATCAAACTGAAGTTGGTTTCTTCTTTTTCTTATCCCTTGCGTTATAGTTTATCTTTAATCTACCTTAGAAAGGGCCAATTGAAAAATAAACCAGCATACTTAAGGGCGAAAAAAAAGTCTAGACCTTGGATGGCGTAATGATACAAGTCCTACGATGATAAATGCTTATAAGAAGAACAAAAAAAAAAAAAAAAAGAAAGAAAAAAAAGGCTTATAAGAACCAAAGAAGTTTACCCAAAATATTACTTGTGCAAAATAACCTGCGCAATAAAATATAGAAAACGTCAAAGATAATTCTCAATTCTCAAACAAGACATCCTAAGGATAATTCCTCAACAATGATAATCCTATATTAAACTCAAATTCATGATAATCCTATATTAAACTCAAATTCATGATAATCCTATATTAAACTCAAATTCATGATAATCCTATATTAAACTCAAATTCATGATAATCCTATATTAAACTCAAATTCATGATAATCCTATATTAAACTCAAATTCATGATAATCCTATATTAAACTCAAATTCATGATAATCCTATGAATTAAGAAAAAAAATAATTCTAAAAATAATACCAAAAGGACTCAAATTCATGATAATCCTAAGGATAATTCCTCAACAATGATAATCCAATACCAAAATGATAAGCCTATCTAATTAGTTCCTCAATCACCAAAAGGAGTCTAACGTATCACAAAGTCCCATTAGGACTCTGTTGGACTCGGTCAAATCCGAATTATTCCAAAGAAAAACAATCAAGACTTGTGTTACTCCTACTCCTTCTAGATCTCGTGCTATCTCATTCACAGAATATAAATATATATAATACAAACACACATACGCATAAAAAATACAACCAATCTATAAGACCAAAATTGTAAAGCTATTCTTCAATTGGTATAGGTGAAATACGTAAATATAGGCGTGTATAGTCATGAGGTACCAAGTTGCAGGGCCATCAGAATATCTGGTCATCACAGGCCGTGGCATCAAAGACGTAAAGCTCGCAAAGAAGGCGTTTATATGGCCACTGCAAAAGTGCACTTGCTTTGATGTCTCCCCTATCAACTACATCTACGAATTGATAGCCATGTCTGCCGAGAAACTCTTGTTCAAACTCCCAGCGGTATTCACCATTGGCCCTTATGTCGACGACATGCCCGCGCTCCTCCTCTATGCCAAGCTCATGTCCCAGCACAAGAAGAACTCCGACCATGTCGAGAACCTTGTGCAGGGTGTCAGCGAGGGCGAGACTCGTGTTCTTGCCGCTTCGATGACTATGGAGGAGATTTTCAAGGGCACTAAAAAATTCAAGAAAGAGGTTTTTGACAAGGTCCAGCTTGAGCTCAATAAGTTTGGCCTTCTCATCTATAACGCCAACATCAAACAGCTTATTGATATTAAAGGCCACGAGTACTTTTCCTATCTAGGAAAGAAGATACAGACGGAGACTGCCAATCAAGCAAAGGTACGCATACTTTTTAAAAAATAAAAAATAAAAAGGTGTATTCTTTTAAATTATATACACATAGCTTTAAATTAGATATGGTAATTAATTCTACAATCGTAGAACGCCCTCAATTTGTGGTTATGTTATTATATATCTATCGGAAATATCATTTATCCTCAAATCAGAAATATCATTAAATTAGCTAGTCATTATATGTTCTTAATGTCTCTGAAGGAATTGTTTTCTTACTAAAATATCAATTTTTTTTTAATCATGCGTACAATACTAATATTGTCACATTTTATAGATCGATGTCGCTGAAGCTACAATGAAAGGAGACGTGGGCGAGAAGCTCAGGCTGGCTGAGACGGCGCAAAATGCAGCAAAAATTGATTCCGAGACTAAGATAATTACAACACAAAGGCTTGCAGAGAGTAAGAAGGAAGAGATTAGGGTCAAGACAGCGTTGGCAGTCTTTGACAACCAAAACGAAGGTGACGTGCTGGAATCGAACAATGCGTTGGCAACAAAGAAGGCTCAGTTTGACAAGGAGACTCAACTCGCAAACGTTGAAGCTAAAAATGCCGTTGATATAAGGGAGGCTGAACTGAAAACTGTGCTGGAGAAGAAGAATGCAGAGACTCAAACCGAGAAACTAAGGGCAAATTTGCTAAGTAAGGCTACGGTGGATTATGAGATAAAGGTAATGTGGTCTAAAACCCCTAGCTTGCTAGTTCAGTTAATGTTTCTCAAGGCCAGATTCGCATTAATTTATGGCTTTAATTTGTAATTAAACTTATAACTATACATAGGTTCAAGAAGCAAATTGGGCGGTTTACAAGCAACAAAGAGTAGCGGATGCCAACTTGTACGAGGAGCAAAAGGCGGCTGAGGCGCAGAAAGCAAGTGCAGAGGGGAGTTCCTTTGCAAGACAACAAGCTGCAGATAGCGATCTCTACGCCAAGAGAAAAGAAGCTGAAGGAATCATCGCGACAGCAGACGCCGAAAGCATATATTTGAACACACTCATGAAGGAACTCGGAGGAAACTATTTGGCAGTAAGGGATTACCTGATGATAAAAAGCAACACATTCCAAGAGATTGCTAAGATCAACGCGCAAGCGATTAACGGTCTTCAACCGAAAATTAGCCTCTGGTCACAAGGCAACAAATTTGATGATCATCATCAGGAATTGAATGGTGGGCCACTCAAGGGTATTGCAGGAGTATATAGTATGTTGCCTCCATTGCTAAAGACTGTTCATGAGCAGACAGGGATGCTTCCACCAGCTTGGCTTGGTTCATTACCAGATCAGGCCAACGATGTTTAGTTTCCCTTTTGGCTTTATGAATTTTCTATGATCAATTTGTCAACAAACTAGCTTCTTTTTTTTTTTTTTTTTTTCTTTTTTTTTAAATTTTTGGTAGAAAGTCGATCGACTAGCTAATAGGCTCTTATAAGTTAGGTTTTCTATCTTTATCTTTACTTTTTAAATGTTTCAAGGACTAGTCCTTTTACTGCTTAAATTAATTTGCTTTTTTTTTTTTTTCACTGGATTACAATATATTTAACGTGATCAGTTTCACATTGAGAGTTCTTTCTGAACTTCTCCAGCATTAAACCATCAAGGGAAAGAAAATTGACAAATCCAAATATACGTGAATATATTATTGTAATCAAAATACTAGAAAGTCATTTTGTATGGTTGTAAGGTTGTGATTTTGTCAACGTTTCAACACACAAAGATATTGGATACATTTTCACATGGATACATATGTTTGCTTACTAAATATTTATTATGCAACTTTACTTATATTAGATATATGAATGATGATTGTATATTTGCAAATGCTATATATTCGATACTAGAAAAATATATTTTAAATGGATAGAATATTATCGATTGGAAAAGGAGCCTGAAAATCATCCGAACCATTGAGAAACTACCATTCACACTGAACACACTATGTCCTTCCGAACCTCCCGTTAATGCACCTAATGAAGAGTTCTAGGCATACCGACGTTGGAAGGACTAAAACGAGATTGCCCATTACTATATGATGGTCAATATGTCTAGTGTGCTTCAAGCACAGCACGAGGATTGTCAAATTGGTAGGCAGATTTTGGATAACTTTGAGTAATGTTCGGCAGCCAAGCTCCACAGAAGCGGCATGAGGCATCACGTAGTGTAATGAATTGTAAATAGAAGGTGGGGTCTTCCATCAAAGATCACATGCTGATTCTAATGCAGAATTTGAAAAGGCCATGATTTTCGAGACTTTTTCGAATGAATATATTCCGTTTAAGGCTTTATTCAATCTCATCAATCTTAACACCAGACAAAATGTGACCTCGACAGAGTTAATAAAAGAATTGTAAGTCATTGAAATAATGATCAAGGGCGAGCCAAATGACTTGGAAGCCAAGTTGGGTAAAGCAGCTTCCTTCAAACCCGCTCCAGGAAATGGAAAGAAAAATCGTGGAGTCAAGAAAGAGAATTCTTCTATTCCGCTAACTAAGGACAAGAAAAAGAAGAAGATGAAAATGATATAACCTTAATAATAAAACTTAATTGTTCATCTATCCATTTTATTTTTCCATATCAAACAAAAAAAAATATGTTTTTTAAATATTTATTTAATGATGAAATTTTTTTTAGTAAGTCGCTATCCAGTAACGACAATCATCTTTTTGATTGGTACCACGGTTTAAAATTTTACTCAAATAAGAAATTTCATATTTATTACATTATTTATTTTAATTTTATTATCATGTAATCCTAAAAGTAATGAATCCAAAATCCAAATGTATCTAAAGATGATTGTATAAGTTACGATATTTTACTGCTTATTCTGTAAATAATGTATAATTTATCTCCTTGAAAAATGTAATTTATTTTTAAAATAAATTATTTTAATTTGATTAATCCTAAAATTAGTAAAACTCGTGCTTTTCAAAATAATTTGAAATAATGGTGATTTCCTTTAAAAAATAAAAAAGAAAGAAAATGTCGATACCGTAATCTACATATATAAAAGCGGCAACACATTGCCGCTTGGTTTGACTCGTGGCGGGGAGTTTCGTTCCCCGTTTCACGCTTTTTTTTTTTAATCTTTTTGTTTTTTATAACTTGAATATATGTAATATTATTCAACTCTTAAAAAAGATGTCACGTGCATGTAGGGATGTAATTTTACCTAAAAATATATTGACCTGTGAGGACCCGTCTTAAATAGGCTAGAGAAAATTCAATTTAAATTGGTTCGAATTGAAATGATCAGTTAAAGTTTTAACTTGTCGCAAGTCGCTACATGGGGCAGAGTTAAAGATTCTCGACCCTATTCCTCATTTGCCCACCCAATTTAATTATATTATATTTTTCATATAGAATCTATGGTGTATAATATACTATAATATATAGTATTAAATATAATATATTACATAATATATACATATATTATATAAAAACACAATATTTCATTGTCTCGATGATTTATTTCGAAAGAATTCCAAATATGCAACTGATCGCCTTGAATAAAAGTATCCTAAAGAAAAAATAAAAGGTGCTAAATTAATTTAAGCTTAAACAAGCAAACATTGTAGTCCGACAAAAGGTTATGTGACGCTAACTAGTCCACAATATAAGGATAAATTTAACGACTTCCAAATCATCGAAAATAAAATAAGAAGAAGAAGAAGAAGAAGACGAAGAAGAAGAAGAAGAAGAAGAAGAAGAAGAAGAAGAAGAAGAAGAAGAAGCAGCAGCTAGAAAGCCTAACTTATGAGTGCATAACTATAGCTAGCCCCCTAGATATTGACAATATATATATATATATATATATATACACAGATATGTATGTATAATATCCAAATTAAACACTATTGGCGTTTGGTAATGAACCAAGCCAAGTTGGTGGATGCATCCCTGTCTGCTCATGTACAGTCTTTAGCAAAGGAGGCACCATGTTATACACCCCGGCAATACCTTTCATCTGCCCACCACCATTCAATTCATGATCATCATCCAATTCGTTGCCTTGTGACCAAAGGCTAATTTTCGGTTTAAGTCCATTAATCGCTTGTGCGTTGTTCTTTGCAATCTCTTGGAATGTATTGTTTTTCATCATCATGTATTCCCTTACTGCCAAATAGTTCCCTCCCAGTTGCTTCATGAGTTTGTTTAGATATAATCTTTCAGCATTTGCTCTTTCAATGATTCCTTCAGCTTCCTTTCTCTTGGCATAAAGATCACTATCCGAAACTTGCTGTCGTGCAAAGGAGCTCGCCTCCGCGCTTACTTTCTGCGCCTCAGAAGCCTTTTGTTTCCCGTAAAAGTTAGCATCTGCTGCTCTTTGTTGCTTGTAAAGCTCCCAGTTTGCTTCTTGAACCTGTATACATTCATCGATAAAGTTAACTACAAAGTCCACAATTAGGGCAAACCCGACATCGAAAACAAATCGAGTTTTCGACCACATTACGTACCTTGATCTCATAATTTACTGTTGCCTTACTCAGTAAATCTGCATTTAGCTTCTCGGTTTGAGCCTCCGCATTCCTCTTCTCCAGGATGGTTTTCAGCTCAGCCTCCCTTATATCAACGACATTCTTAGCCTCGACATTTGCTAGTTGAGTCTCCTTGTCGTACTTAGCCTTCTTCATTGCCAACACATTGTTTGATTGTAGCACATCACTTGCTTTTTGGTTCTCAAATACTTTCAACGCTGTATTAACCTTAATCTCCCCCTTTGTTCCTTCTGCGAGCCTTTGAGTTTTTACTATCTTAGTTTCTGAATCAATCTGTGCAGCATTCTGGATAGTCTGAGCCTGCCTGAGCTTCTCACCAATGGTTCCTTTTTTGGTGGCTTCAGCGATATCGATCTGTAAAATATGAAAATATATGTGTGAATATATATATATATAGATATATATATATATATATATAGATATAGATATATATATATATATATTGTACATAGGAATATAACAAGCTAATATTTTAGTGAGTAAAACATCAGAAGTATTAAGCGGGAAGAAAACAGTAATTTAAAGAAAAATGAAATAGTAACATAACAAATACTTTAAAGTGCACATAATTATGATATACTTGCTGATGGGAATATATTGGTAGAAATATCTACATAAATTCAATAAAGGTATAACAAGTAGAAGAGTAATTTTATAAATTAAGTGCGCATTATGATACATAAATTCCATGCGTACGTAAATAGATGAACAAAATTATTGGTCGATTATAACTCGAGTTAAATGATGAAGGGTATTTAATGATTTGAAGTCATTATAGGTCTCATTTATTTCGCTCATTCGAGTTGAGAATTTGAGTAAAAAACTGAATTCATGTGAAAAAAAAATACAATGACAGAAAAAAACTTAAATGAATTTATTTTAATTTATGGGAAACTATACTCTAATAAAAATTTGAGTTGTAATTCGAAGTAACAAAATCAACGAGGCTATTTTGAATGTACGCACCTTGGCTTGATTGGCAGCCTCCGTCTTCATCTTTTGTCCAATATAGGAAAAGTACCAGTTGTCTTTAATATCAATAAGCTGTTTCATGTTGGCGTTGTAGATGACGAGACCAAACTCACTAAGCGAAAGCTGAACCTTGTTGTAAACCTCTTTCTTGAATTCGACTGCGCCCTTGAAAATCTCTTCCATAGTCATGGAAGCAGCGAGAGCACGAGTCTCACCCTCAATAAAACCCCGCAGATGCCGGCGGAGATAGGTGGAGTCCTTCTCTCTCTCGGGGAGGATCAGCTTGGCATAGAGGAGAAGCGCGTGCTTGTCGTGGATGTTGGGGCCGACGATGAAGACTCCTTGGGGGGCGAATAAGAGTTTCTCTACCGACATAGCTATCAAGTCCAAGTTGTAGATTACAGGGGAGACATCAAAGCAACGGCACTTCTGCAATATTGGCCATATAAAAGCCTTCTTCGCGATCTTTACATCTTTGATTCCACGGCCTGTGATAGCCAGAAATTCCGTCGGACCTGCAACTCGGTACATTATGACTGCCTATTGCGTCTATGAATTAAAGAAGAGCGCGTGTATGTGTCTATTATATATTCGGCATATGAATGAGATAGCTAGAGGCCGAAAAGGACTAGTACTAGAGGTATTTATATTAGTATCATGTGTGTGTTACATATATATATATATATATATATATATTTTCTGATGGACCCGCTGGAACTTCAATTTATCTTATAGATAGTGTATAACCTGATTCATAGTAGGACTAGGATAACGGCATCCTTGGCGGGTTTTTTTTTTTTTTTTTTTTTTTTTCTTTAAAGGCTAGGATAACGGCTTCCTTGGGGGTTTTTTTTTTTTTTCTTTTTTTTATTCTTAAGTTTGCAATTTACTTAAAGAACGAAGAAATTGAAAAAAAAAAAAAAAAATTGACATGTTTTATAAATTGAAATAATCATTATTTTTTTTTCAATTTTTATCATTTTTGAATTTCCTCGGAATAATTAAAATTTTATAATCTAATAACTTTAGCTAGTATTATCTTATTTTGAAATTTATCTTCACTACTTAATTTTCGACAATAAGATTGTTTCTTAAGTTTATCTTTGCTTTGTTTAACTCTTTTTCTAGTCGAGTTTTTCCATGACAGTTTTAAATTATATACTTAAATTATATACTAGTTTATCTCCACGTGCAATGCACGAGAGTTATAATCTGTGTTATGTTTTAATCACCGCTTTATCGAGTTTTAGGCAAGAACCCAAAAAAAATAAAAAAAAATTCAAAATTAAAAAATAAATAAGTTTAGTGTAAAAGGGACAAAAACGAAAAAAACTAGAGTTTCAAGACAAAAATAAAAAAAGGAGTAAAAAAGACCAAAAATGTAGAAATAATTAAATTCTAGGGCAAAAGACAAAAAAAGAAAAAAGGAGAAATACAATTTCAAGAAAAAAAAATAAAAAAAAGGTCAAAGAAGGACTAAAATGAAGAAATAAATGAGTTTTAGCGTATGAAGAACCATAACAAAAAAAAAAGAAAGTTTCATGGCAAAAATTTAAAAAAAAAAAGGTCAAGAACAGACCAAAATGAAGAAATAAATAAGTATTAGGGCAAAAGGAGCCAAAACAAAAAGTAAAATAAACTTCAGAATAAAAATTAAAAAAATATTGGCCATATAAAAGCCTTCTTCACAATCTTTACATCTTTGATGCCACGACCTGTGATAACCAGATATTCTGTCTGACCTGCAACTCGATGAAGAGCTTAATTTACGATTTCAATTTTATAGATAGGTTGCATGCGTTGTATATATGCTTGTATAGTGTATTTCATGCGAATGAGATATAGACACCGACAAGGAGTAGTTGTGCCAGCCGAAGTGATCGGTAAGTAAACCGAATCAACCGACCAATTTAAAAAAAAAAAAAAATTATTATCCATATATTCGAACCTCTAATCTTGTAGAATGTGAATATAAGTCTATCATATTATTAGATATCTCTAACTTGTAAGTTGTGATAGAAAAATGAAATATATGGATAGATGAGACATTTAAAAGTTTGATGTGTTTGAAAATTTAAGCACCCACATTGAAAATAGATGAGAATGTCTTCCCTCAACTATTCTATATAAAGGGTTGTATTTTATTTATTCATCACAATTTATAAGTTAGAGAGGTCTAACTTCTTTTGAACGTCAATCTTCAATAATATGATGGACTTTATTGAATATGGACTTCAATATAAATAAGTTTTCTAATTGAGATTAGATGTAAAGCCTTAGTCTTTAAGGATATATTCTTTTAGGCTTTATTTTTTTTTTTGTCTTTTAAGCCATTTTTTCTTATTAATTTTAACTATTTAAATATTAAATATTTGAATGGTTAAAATTTAAGAAGAAAATAGTTCACAAAATTTTTTTAAGTAAGAAATTGACCGATAAAAATCGGTTAGTTAACCAATCGAAGACATTATTCTTCGGTTCGGTTTCAGTTTTAAATTTTTAAAAACTGACATTGTCAATTCGGTTTTCAAACCAACTAAAATTGTCGGTTAAAAACTAATGAACACCCCTAACGTGTATATATACATATATATATATATATATATATAATCGGTCGGTTAACCAATCGAAGACATTATTCTTCGGTTCAGTTTCAGTTTTAAATTTTCAAAAACTGACATTGTCAATTCGGTTTTCAAACCAACCAAAATTGTCGGGTAAAAACTAATGAATACCCCTAACGTGTATATATACATATATATATATATATATAACTTCAATTTATCTTATAGATAGGTTGCATGCGTTGTATATATGCTTGTATAGTGTATTTCATGCGAATGAGATATAGAGACCGACAAGGAGTAGGAGTGGTAGAAAAGCTGATCATTCGTAGTAGGAGTAGGATAATGGCATTCTTGGAGCTTTTTTTTTTTTTTTTTAATTCTTAAGTTTGCAATTTACTTAAAGAACGAAGAAATGAAAAAAAAAAAAAAAAAGATTGACATATTTTATAAATTGAAATAATCATTATTTTTTTTGAATTTTTTTCATTTTTAATTTTCTCAGAATAATCAAAATTTTATAATCTAATAATTTAATCTAGTATTTTCTTATTTTGAAATTTATATTTACTACTTAATTTTTGACAATATATAAGATTATTTCTTAAGTATCTTTGCTTTGTTTCACTCTTTTTTTGGTCGAATTTTGACATCATAGTTTTTAATTATATGTAATGAAGAAGTTTTGATACAAACTATTCAATACAAGGAAAAAAGTGTTTTTAATTTTTTTTCACTAGAGGTTTCTAATTCTGGGCTTCTTGTTGTCAACTTTATACCGATTCTAATACCTTAAGTTTTGTTTATTTTTTGATTTTTTGATTTATTTTTACTTCACAAATTTAGTTTGATAATCAGACATTGACATATCGGGAGTAGTATCCTATAAGAATGTTTTCAGAAAAGGTTGGTAAGGCATGGCCTCCTTATTAAAAACAACACTCCGGCGGCACAAGACTCCTCTTAAAACTACTCTCCCATTCAAATCAGGGAATCTATCTTGATCAAATAGCACCTCCCCAACAACGGCGTCATAATTTGATTTAATGTCCAAATTACATCATTCCAAAGCAGTCGGAGTTGCGCAATATGGACGATCATATTGACGAGAAGGTGGTAAAAAAACAAGAAAAATTAACAGAAACTAATGTTAGGAGAAATATGTGAAAATGCGAAGAAGATAATTTTGGAATTTTTCTAATTAAAAATGCAAAACTTGAACAAATATTGAATTTAAATAACAGATCAAAGCAAGATAAAACTTTACAAATACTATATGATTAAAAAGGGCAGACGTCAAGAATCACATATGCACATCGCTTTCCAATCTCTTAAGAAAGTATTTGAACAAATTAAGCCCTAGATAATTACGCACAGATTATTATTACGAGTTATCTTAAATCAATAAAATACCTTGTAAAATAATTCTCAAACTAAAATAATGCCAGACAAAATTACATCAACAACGCATAACTGAATTTATGTAAAAGTTTGACACACAAAATTTTGAAGAAAAATAAAAGATGAAAAATGATTTAATTCCCTGAAATATATTAGACATTACAAAGCAAATGAATTAAAACTTCAATCAGATCACTGAATAAAAAGTTTAGTTTTAGCCTCATCAAATGACTCACGCTTAACTTGTAAAGCATTTTCATATATTCTAAAGAGAAAATATGAGAAAAATATGCAAGATGAAATTCACTTTGACATGGACGTGGACGTGTCTTGGCTCCTTGTGATTTGGTTTTTTTGGGTCAATTCACTTTGATTACATGGCTTTTTGTACTGTTTTTTATAATTTTAAATAAATAAGCAAAAATTATACAATTTTTATTTAAATATTCCTGATAAAAATTATAAAAATATTTAATTAAAGCTTAAATATTTAATTATTCATTCAATAATAAGCAGTGTTCACTTATTAGTGGTACATTGAGTTGCATGGCTTTTTGTACTGTTTTTAATATTTGTAAATAAATAAGTAAAAAAAAAGAGACAGCTTTCAATTAAAATATTCCCAATAAAGAATTATGAAAAATTTTAATTAAAGCTTAAATGTTTAAATCAATTTATTCAATAATAAGCAGTATTCAGACTACACTTGCGTACTTATTAGTAACACTTGCGTACTTATTAGTAACATTTAAATTGCTCTGTATCTCAAGAGGAGTACAACCCATCTCGTTCTTTAGTAAATCCAATCATCTTCCACAAATCCTAGTCCTGAAATGCACAATGAGTAAGATAAATTATCACATTGCAACAGAACAAAGAAATAGGAGAAACTCTAAATAGGAGAAATTCGGGGAACTGAAACAAGTATTTCCAGCACAAAAGTTTGAATCAAAACTCTACATAACAAAGAAAAATTAACCAATAAAAAAAAAAGGAGCAAAAAAACTACAACACACAGAAAATTTAAAGGAAAGATCCAAAAGTGAGTTCCAATAATCACAACTCCAACGATCCTTTAAATGCGACTCTCTGGTCCGAAGAGGAAGATAGAACTCTAGGATTTGACCGAATCCTGGGTTAGTTTTTTTTTACTTCTAAAACTTGTTATCTTTAGTTTCATGCCTTTAAAAATTTCACCTTTTGATTTCCACCTTTAATTTTAGTGAAATTTTATGAATGTTCAAAACTATCATTTTTAAAATAATAAGCATTTAAACAAAAGAGAGCAAACAAATAAAAAGAGAAAAAAAAAAAAAAAAAAACGTAAATAATGAAAGAGGGCTTGCTGCAGGCTTGTTGCTCACGCTCATTGATCACATTGGTTCTCTTAAATTTTCGACTTATGTACTAGACAGATTACAACTCACCCCACTCAATTTTTGATAAACTAAGCAGCCAAATTTTGCGAAATTTTGTCCATTGTACTCATTTTAAGGAGGCCGTACATTCAAAATCAAACTCTTTAAGTTAGGGATTTAAATGTATGTTATTATCTAATTTAATTTA